GGGTTTCCTGCTGGCTTCATTTTCCCTCTGTACTGAGGGCAGGGAAGGAGCCCCTCACCGTGTCCTCACTAATTATCTCTGACATGCAGTTGGCAACCTGATTTGTGAGGCCCTGTCTATATTCTGTGCTAGGTTGGCCTCACCCCTTGGGAGATAAGAAGATGTGTGTCTTTGAATCAGAAGATCTGAAATACAGTGAAGATGTACTCCTGTGATCCCTTAATATACTTTAAGCTGGGGCTCCTTTTATTGTGCCTCAGACACCATTTCCCAAATGCACTGCAGCCTGCTCTTCAAAGTGTCCTCACAGCGCACCTGATGCCTCCAGCTGGAATAAAGCGAAGGCCAGGCTCGTCCCTGCTGCTCCCACTCGGGGCTGGCAATGTGTCGGGAGGAGGTGCTGTTTTTCCCGCAGAGATGGGGTGAACGCAGAATGTCTCTCCATTTCCGAGTCCTCCAGTGCTTCCTGAAGGCAGTAATTTGTGGCTATGTAACGTTTGTTTCTTGGCATGGCACAGATTGCACAAATGACATCTCTGAGATGGAAAACGCAACAAAACTAAACTCAAAAGTTAAGTCTCTTTCTTGCAGGAAGGTTGGGGATTTGAGTGGGAGGATGCTCTGCTGCTCCTTTCAAAACATAAACAATTAAGTCAAGGCTCATACGGAGAACAGGTTGCAGGCGAGATTTGGCCCTCAGACTGTAGTTAGAAGACCTCTGTTTTATGTTTTCTGGAATTATAACTGCATCATTACCTTAGTTTGAAATTCAGAACATGGAAACAAAGAAAATGTCTCAGGGTCCTTATTTCCATTCCTGCTCTTCTGTGCGCCTAGAGCTCCACACGCCACCACACCCACGGCCTGCCCCCCGCTCCTTCGCTCACTCAGCCTTGGGGAAGGGCAGTTCTGATAAGGTGGCAAATTTAGGAAAAATAATTAAGCACAATTGGCTTTGTTCAGCCCCTTTCCCTCTTAGACATGAGCTGACCATTCATTCACTTAACAAATAGTTATGTATGTCAGGCACTGTTCCAGGCACTGGAATTGCAGCAGTGAATAAAATAGACAAAAGTCTCTTATAGTCTAACTGGAGATGCAGAAAATAAACATAACAATACGTGTTTTTAAAGAGACCAGTGTTAAGGGGAACAAGTAAAGCAGAGAGAAGACATATCAAGCTGTAGGAGGCAGGGGCTAAATTTTTAGGTAGGAAGTGCAGGGACGGGCTCACTGAGAAGGTGACTGTAACTTACACCAGAAGGAAGTGGGGGTGGGGAGCATGTAGGTACCTGGGCGAAGAGCATTCTGAGCAGATTGTTCTGGAGCTGTGGAGCAGAGAATGCCTGCAGAACTTGAAGAGCAAGGAACTGGAGTGGCTGGGGCAGGGAGGCAACCTACTTTGATCTGTGTTTTAACAAAAGCCCTTGACTCCTGTGATCAGACAAATCTGGGCGGGGGAGGGGAGGATTGAAACCAGAAATAAAGCCATAATTGCAGTAATCCAAAGGAGAGATGATGGTGCCAGCAGTGAAAAATGGTGATGAACAGCTGTAATCAGGGCATATTTGAAGTATGACTGACAAAATTTGCTGATACATTACATGAAGTAGAAGGGAAAGATATACATCAGAGATTTTTAACTGAGTAACTGGAGAATGGATGCATTTGCCATTAAATAAGGAAAGACTGGGAAATGAGCTGTTTGGAGTAGGGTGTGGGGCAGGGTAAAGATCAGGGGTTCAGTTATTAGACATATGAAGTTCAGGATGTCTGATAGGCATGCAAGTGGAGATACTGAGCAGGGGATTGGATACAAGGTTCAGGGGCTCAGAGGAAAAGCTCAAGCTTGACATCAGCTCAGAGACTGGATTTAAAGTCATAGGACAGGATAAGATCATCTAGAGAGTAAGTATAGTAAGAAAATAGATGTGATCCGAGGATTAAGCCATTGGCACTCTGATATTTAGAATCTAAGCAAGGGGAAGGAACAACAAAGGAGACCAGGAAAGGTAGCAAGAAAAAGCTGAGTGTGGTGAGGTATGTTCTAGTACAGCTTCCATTGCTCATCCTTACGGGGGTGCCTTCCCACTCCAGACCCGCCTGGGTCTGCGTGGATGATTCTGCCCCATTCTGCTGTTCAGTATTCACAGTGCTACCTGGCTACGCACCTTGGATGGAATGGTATCTTTCAACCTGATCCCAAGTGCAACTTACATTTTTTCTAAAACTGTTCGGAACTGGGTGGAAAAGAATGGTGCTATAGTTAGGGCTCCCTTATGGCCTCTTAAAAGAAAAACTGAACAAGTGCATTTGGTTTAGAGACTTGAACAAACATTTTTATGATTTTTTTAGAAGTCAAGAACCAAATTGACCAAATATTTGGGGTACAGTATTATTTTTTCAACAAAAAGGTAATATAATTATTAAATGTATCAGAAAACTTTTTCCCAATACGTAGTTTTACCTTCTCTTAAACATTTTTTAAAAAGCAACAAATTCTTCATGGTGTTCTTTGAAATCCTATAACTCAGCATTTGATTAGGGTCATGTGCCTTAGGACTTGGTAGGAAAGTGATCTTATTTGAATGTTGACATTTTCCTTTTATAAGTATATCTGAGTAGCATATTTACAAAGTCATTTTACAGCCACAACTAAAGTCACTTGGGATCAGTAATCAACATTGTTAGACAGAAGTAAGTAGCATGTGTGGGTCTGGAACACCCCTAAGCGTGGAAAGGAAATGGGAAGTAACTGTGCCAAAACGCTTACATCTAAAGGCCCCCTTGACTTAACAGATCTCAAGTCTCTGCTCTTCTGGCCCAAACATTTCATGTTTTCCTAGAATAAGTGTGCATGCTCTCTTAAGATTTTTTTTTAATATTAAAAATTATTTTTGTTACTTTATTCAATAGCTAAATTTATTCTTTGATATTTTTATCTTTTTACACCCCCCGCCCTGCCCTCTCTTCCGTTTTGATTCCATTGTTGGTGATTTTATGTCTTTAAAAACTTACACAATCTTTGTACAGTTAATAAATATTCTTCATAGTGAAATAATGGTGATTGACTTTTATTTTTTTAATTAAACCATTTTTAGAGCAGTTTTAGATCCACAGCAAAAGTGAATGAAAGTGCAGACGGTTCCCATATGCCTCCTCTCCCCACATGCGTACAACCTTCCGTGTTATCAACACGCCCCATCAGAGTGGTCTGTTGTTGCAACTGATGAGCCTACATTGACACATCATTGGCACCCAGTCCGTAGTTTACGTTGGGGCTCACTCTTGGTGTTTTTCTATGGGTTTGACAAATGTACCCACCACTGCAGTGCCATACAGAATAGTCTCTGCTCTTCCATGCTCTGCCTACTGATTCTCTGTGCTCTGCCTAGGCATCCTTCCCTCTCCCCTAGCTCCTGGTAACCACTGAACTTTTTTTTACAG